AATATTTATATAGTAACGATAATGATAATATATAATTTTAAAAAAGAAGAAAAATTATAATAAAATACATTTGTATTACCCCTTAGTCCTAGTGTTCCGACAGTACAGTGAGAGTGCCAGTGTACCCTCACACTGGTGTTGTGCCGAGGTTCGAAACCTTTCGTGACGTAAAGAGGTCATCATCAGAGATCTCGTGTTCGCATATCATGTGATGATTTTGTCCTTTCGGGACGTCGTATCAAAATGTGTGTCAAAGCTACCAACGTTTTTTCGATTTGGATAATAAAAGTGTACTATTGCTGTTAACAATAAGATATATATCTGTTGTGTGTGGACTTTCCTTATTCTGTGTCAGTGGAGTACCACGTTTTCACAAAATGACTCAACGTGTTGTAATGAGTACGTTTAAGTGTGTATTTTGTTGTGAGTCGTGCTGTACTTTATGGGTACAATAATGTGGCTGATGAGATAAGTTGAGAGGTCAATATTGGTGCTGAAAGAAGACGGGATACCCTGTGTGGTCAAGTTTCAACTCCGGTCCCACACTTTTCATGATTTAGCCACTGTCAACTTAATTCAGTTCGTGCAATTCTGGAAATATTTTATTATCCTGTCGTCGTCGGTTTTTTTACCCTAAAATGATACGTCGACGTTCGTGAGGTTGCTGTTTCTTAAAGGGAGGAAGGAAGAGAAGAGGGAAGGAAGGAAGGAAGGAAGAGGGAGGTTGTTAATCTTCTGCTTTTGTGTGAGGTTCGTGGTGTTGTGGTAGAGGACAAGTGTGTGACGTGTGTCCGTCCTTCTAGCCTCCGGTGACAGAGTCAGGATGTCGCTGGCCAGTAGTCTGAGAAAGACCAGCCCGCGACACTCGTCGCACGGCCGTGCCTCGCAGCAGTCGCCCTTCGGCAGCAACAGCAGCATCAACAGCAACAGCAGCGGATTGACTAGTCCCACCACTACCACCACGCCAACTGCATCCTCCTCCACCTCCTCCTCATCATCACGCCTCAGTCCGCATTACCACCATCACCATCACCATCACCATCATCAGCAGAGGCAACACCGCCACTCCCTACAACATCAGCATCTCCATAGCAACCATCATGGCAGCGGTCACCACCAGAACCACCACTCGTCGGGGGGCAACGTCAGGTTGATTAAGGTGAGCAGGGGACGATTGTGAACTGAAGACAGACACACAGAGTAGTCTTGTCACAGACTGCCTGTCTGTCTGTCTGTCTGTCTGTCTGTCTGTCTGTCTGTCTGTCTGTCTGTCTGTCCGTCTGTCTGTCTGTCTGTCTGTCGTGTACTGTTGTACTACTCAAACTGAAAACAAATAATAATAACATATTATTTTATCTAAGATTGTGCGTTGTATCTGTTACCCGGTCGGCCCTCTTTCAGCAGAAGCACAATATTACTTCACCAAGGTTTGAAAGTTAAGGGAGCTAACCGTTAATTTGTTTTCTGTGAAACTCTCAAAAGTATTCTGCCGCTTTCCTGAGCACAAAATGTTTCCCCGGCTCTAGTGAAGCTTTATTATTATAGTCAAGAAACGGAAGGGAAAAGGTCAAAATCCAGACTTATGTGGGGTGGGGTGGGGGTTGTTTCACTTCTGGGGACCTGTTTCTGTTTGTTTACCTGCGTGAGCGCGCCGGAACATCTCTGGAAGCAGGTGTGTTTGTTTGTGTGCAGTAATGTCTTTCTCATAGAACAACAACACGACTGTGTTCAGTGTTCCGTTGTTGTTGTTATTTTTGTAGTGTCACACACATGAGATTGGAGAACGAGCCTTCAGAAATGTTACAGTCGGTTATGATACATTCCTAGCATAAGGAAATAACGTGGTAATGATACAGTCATCTCATAAGAAAAGAACGTTGTAATGATACAGTCATGGCTTTAAAAAGAACGCGGTAATGATACACTTATGGTGTAAAAACGAAGAGCGCATCCCTTTTGCTGGAACAGTAGAGCACGAGTAACATATTATTCGCACCGTAAAGCACATCGGTGCGGTATTTTGCGGTGGTGTGCAAGGTATTTGTTACCCAATGTTTTTCTCGTCTTCTTCCGCGATTATGGTGACTTGATACGAAAGCCTTGTTCTTGGAACGATCAAAGTACGATCTGGACTTGTTTTACAGTCCCCCTCCCCCCTCCCCCTTACACACACACATACACACACACACACACACACACACACACACACACACACACACACACACACACGCGCGCGCGCGCGCAGGCGCACCTCCAATCTCTTTCTTCCCTTTCCCTCCCTACCTCCGTCTCTCCTTCCTTACCTTCACCTGTAAGTGTGTCTTTCTCTGGATATCCCTCGCTTTGCTTCTGTCTGTCTGTTGGTTGGTCAGTCTGTCTGTCTGCCTATCTTTTATATGTTTATCTTGCTTTCTCAGCTCTCCCTCTCTCTTTTCTCTGTCTGTCTGTCTGTCTGTCTGTCTGTCTGTCTGTCTGTCTGTCTGTCTCTCTCTCTCTCTCTCTCTCTCT